GCCTGGGAATTCGCTCTTGTGCAACTTCAACCATGCACTGCTGCCATCGCTCAGCTTCTCGATGTTCAACAAATGGCTTACGCATTCCACTGCAAATGGCCAAAAGCATGGTGGTAGTCCGGCTTCTAGTAGGCATGTCGATGTGGTAAGCATCATGAACTGATTGTTTCTTTCGGCGAGTGAATTATTCTGGGGGTGTCCTGGAAGCGACTGGTCTAGTGGAATCCGGAGTTCCTTGAGTGCTGCTTCAAATTGTGGCGCGTCGTCCGAGTAAGCGTTGGTGACCTTTCTCTTACCGATATAGTGCTTCATCGCCTGCACCACTTCGTCACTATTGCTTGCTTTCAAAGGATAGCCCCATATCACACCAGTGAACCGATCTCGAATCACCAATACATCCTTATCCGGCGTGATCCCATCTCTCGCCATCTTCTGAGTGTTCATGAGATCGAAAGTGATGAGGTCACCGAATGCCTTCAATTTCCGTTTGAAAGCTCCCTTGCTAGTCTTGTAGTGCTTCATCTTTGCTCTCACACATGACTTGCAGTATGGGTTCTTGTATCGGTGCGTCATCAGGTGCAATATGGATTTCGCCTCGTTCTTCAGCACTCCTGGTTTTGATAGTCTGGCTTCCCCGTCAACCACGTCGACTTCCAGTAGTCCCTCTTCATCTTCACCAATGTCACTCTCCTCTCGTTCAGAATCCGCATCACCTCCGTGTTCGTCGTCTTCGGCTTCTTCAGGTTGACCTTCGTGACCACGATCGATTCTCGGATCTCCTCCGTCATATTCTTCTTCAGGAGAATATCCGTCATCACCGTGTCCCTCTGGTTCTCCTTCGGCGCCTGCAACAGCTGGATTGATATCAGATTCACCATCCCGATCTCTCTGGTTATCTTTCTTCTTTCTCCTTCGTCTCCGTGGTTTCTTGGGCGGAGGTTCCTCTTGTTGTGTCTCCTGACCTGTTGTGGCCTCGTCTTCATGTCCCACACCTGACAGTATGCGATGAAGTATCGTAGCCAAGCCGTCTGATCTTGGTAAACATCTCCCGTCATCATCATTCACCTTGATGTAGGGTATGTTGTCATGCACCGATAGCGGAATCTTGTTCGCGTTCTGGTCGATGAGGTATGGCAATTGATTTGCCGGCCATATGAATGAGTACCCTTGTTCCATGCACCGTTTCCCGATGGAAAAGACTGATGGTGTGCTCTCCAACACGTGTGCCTCGGACATCATGGGTAGTTCGTCCACATTGATGTCCACCATCTCTGATGTACTAGTTACGCCATTCGCTGTCATGAAGCTCACGGATTTGGGTCCTTCCTTGGTGGTAAGGCCCATGGCATTGACTTTCTCTCTTGAGATCAAGTCGTGTCCACATCCCGTGTCCATGATGAAGCGTATCGGTGGTCCATCATACCTCTCCACAGCCATGAACATCGTGTCTCCCGGTATCGTATAGTTGACAGAATCCCTCCTTACTACCTCGCTGGTGTTGAAGTCAGACAGATCGACGTTCACCTCGATTCCTTCATCTTGAGTGATTTGTATCCATGCCTTGGCAATGTGTTCAGCAGAGTATAGCTCCATCATCTTACCTTTGGCATGTGCTACTCGCGCAGCTATATTGTTCACTCTGAGGGCTCTCAACGACGAAATGAGCTCGGTATCCACCTTCTGCACCTCATCCTTCTTCTTCCTGAGAGGACGGGTGTTTAGCTCGTTACCAGGATCGCAGGTAAACGTGGTCACACTCGCCCGGTCGTCGAATCTGACTTTAAAGCGAAGCGCCAGCTTACCTCGTTGTACGTTGGGAAGTGCGGGTCGCGCGTCCTCGCCATCACTCTCGATGTCTCCGCAAAGCATGAAGGCTGGCGCAGCCGGTTTGGGCTTGGCTTTGCCTTTAGCCTCTTGTTTTGTAGCAGGAGCAGCGTGATGCTGGCGTCGACATTTGTCCCCGAACTTGCACGATCCTTTCTGCCAATTCCAACAGACCTGATCCTTTATTGGTTTAGGGCTAGTGCTCCTGCCACTAGGACTCTTGGATCTGTCACCCTTGAGGCTTTCTGGTTTCTTAGCAGAACTTTTGTGCTTCTCTTGGTGACTAAACTTGCATTTATCTCCTCTAGAACATCCATTTTTCCCATGGAAGTGGAAGGCACATCCTATCTTGGACGTATCTGCTGGAGTCGCTGACCTGCCACGATCCCCTTTTGGGCTCTTCGTGGTTGATCTTCCACGATCCTGCTTCTTGTCCTTCTTGTTGTGGTCCTTCGGATTAGCCTGAGGAAGTACTGGAGCGGCGTCCTTCGGTGAATCGGCCTTGGTATTCTTGGGTTTCGCCTTAGGGTCCTTCTTCTCCGCCGCTGGTGTGGCTTTCACAAGGTTCCCAAAGGCCTTTTCCCTTTCTTTCTTGTTTGTGGTCTCGATTGATTTCCGTATCCACTTCGCCATGATCTCTCGTAACTTCTGGTAGGTTTTATCCGGATCCTTATCCAACATGTTGTCGTACACGGACAAATCTAACGCCATAACTTTGGAGTCCTTAATCTTATCCCAAAGCAGGTTGCGGAGTGCTTTGTCAGGAAGCATGTCATCCGCATCCATACCTGATATGATCTCATCCCACTGTCCAAGGAATCTGGATAGTTGATTATCCCCAGGGAACTTTAGATCGAATAAGTGCTTGGATGCATACATCACATCAACGTTGTCGGCACTCCGGAAGCTATCGACGATCAACGCTAACATTTCTCGTCCCTTGACCATTCCAGGGGTTGTGCCTCTCGCACGTCTCTGCATCATCTGCCTCACCTTCAGCTGTACGTCATGAGATCTTTCACCTGCTGCGTGGATGATCGTATGCAGGGTGATACCTAGCTTAGCGTCTATGCTAGCGAATCTTGCTTCACCTGATGTCTCGAGCAGAAATGGGTCATATGGTGATCTGAAGGCATCCGAGAGCCACTGGATCCAATCTTCTTGCCTTTCGTCGCCCGATGCCGTCACGACTGCCGCTACAACCTGGGATTTCCAAACCTCCAGGTCGTGTATCTTGGGCCATGCAGGGATGTTGATTTTCTCGTGTTCCTTTCGAGATATCTTGGAGCCACCCGAGCTAGAAGATGAAGCGGCACCATGTTCGGTTGCGGCTGCATTCTCTGCATTCAAGCGCTCCTCTTCGTACCTCCTCCGGTACTTGTTCCTCTCATCTCTGAGCCGTGCTGCATGCGCTTCGAATTCCATCATGTCCTGCTGGTTCTGCATCATACCTTCGTAGTACTCCATTGCCTCTTTCTCCTCGGACCTTAATGACTTTTCGGTACGTCCAAGTTCCGCTCTAAGCTTGGTCATCATCTCGTTCTCCACATAGGGTTCTGATCCCATGTCTGGTGGTTTCAACTCCAGTGCGACCTTCAATTGTGCTTCACTCGCACTTGATTCGATCAATTCTTCCTGAAGACGTTTCAGCATCCTCTCTTTACGTAGAATGTCCTCTTCCAACATGTTCACCTTGACCTCGGCTTTCTTGAGTTCGGCGTTGGATGGTTGAGACGGTCGACCGGATCCTTGAATCCTCGCCTGTGTCAACTCCTCATTCGCCCTCTTCAATTGCCCCCTGATGGTCATGATGAAATTGTCCTGATTATAGGATCGGTTGTTGAGCTCCTCATTCTCTTCTGATAACTATTTGATCTTGCTTGCATACATTGCTTCCTTCATCTTCATCTCCTCAGCATATTCGTGTTTGTTCCTGGCACTCTGCCTTTGTAGTCCAACTAACTCCTGTCTATACAGATCCCTAATGTTCTCAGCATCTGCGACTGCAGTCATGAGCTCGGTTACGGCTCGATCTCTTTCCGCCGATATAGCCTGGATCTCTTCCGTGCCGATGTTCACAACTTGACTAACCATCTCTGCGCTGTTGCGATCAGCGTACTCCCCTAACTGGGTGAGACGATCCCGCATTGCCACACGATCAGTGTCGATCTGGTATTGTAAATCGTGTGCTGCTGAGAGCAAACAGTCTCTGGATTCCGTAAGTTGGGAGATTCTTCGTTGATTTCCATATCCTTCGACATAACATTCTTCGAGGTGTGCCATCACTACTTCGTGGACTTCGGTCTCGTGTTGTATAATCTGGTTCTGTCTTTGCTCACATTCGACCATCCATGCGTTTTGGTGGTTCAACATATGCACTTCGGCAAGCAGTTGTGCACACTTCGCATTGAGGTCTCCATCGGCCCGTGCTAGTTGTAGGTTGTCAGTGCTTGCCCTTGCTCCATCTCCAGCCTCGCTGTCCGACGGCACTGGCACAGTCGACCCATCCTCCAATGCTAGCACTCTCACAGCTCCGGTGTCAGTCCTCCTCCTTGTCTCCCTAGGGCTACGGCCCGACCTCGGTGTCCCCCCCGGTGGTGTCGATTGCGCTGACGGGGAACGACTTCGTGCTCTACCTGTCGCACCTTCTCTCACCACTGTCAGAGTCTCCGCCTCGATCGTACCTGGACTAGAGTTGTGGGATGCACTCATCCGATCTGCGGCCGCAGCAGCTGCTCCAAAAGATGCAGTGCTGGCGTCGGATTGGTCCATCTTCAGTGACTGAGGGTAACTGACCTATCCGATGCGTGTGCGTTTAGATGGTGTTGTGTAAGGCCGCAGCACGTACCCAGCTCAAAGGAGTCCGGATACGGCTGATAACCTGCGAACGGATGGAAAGTGTGCCCTGGCCCCGTTCTAGCCCTTAGTTCAACATGAAGCACGCGCGCTAAAGCTCCTTTTTACCTGGTTGGGCACTTGAGCCAAAAGTATATGGCATGTACCTGTATAGCAACTATACTGGGACCTCATCCCTATTGACAATTATATATGTATAAGTATATAAGAATGTATATAGTAGATAATCCATAATCCTTGTCCGAGAACAGCAAACCATCCTGATGGCACCCTCTACTTTCTCAAAGGCTTCGGTTGAAAACTGTTAGCAGCTGTGCGGCGCTCCCTTCTCTTCAGATTCGCGCCGCAAAAAACTAAGGAGCCCTTCACGAGCATAAAGATCCAAGTCCTGCAGAACCGGCTCCTTCCGAACAAACTTGCTCCTGTCAGGCGCCTATCCCTCACAACCCAGGATCAACGCGTCCAATCACTTCTTACACCGTGCAGTAGTGATCTGCGAGGTCCGTGGTGATTTCGTCAAGGATGTAGACCTGGAACAACTGAGGAAGACCGCAAACATTGACAAAAACCATCAATTTTCAATGAGCTGCGCAGATTCACGGGCAATGTTTTCTGCCTTGCCCTCAGGCTTTCGAACATCTTTAGTACTCACCGTCAGTGTTTATCCATTTTTGTCAATACAGTTGCTTGCTACTGCAACCTAGTCAAACCATCAACAGTCGATCGATATCAGAGTCTAGGCTCTAAACCCGGCAACGAGCACAAATATCAAAAGCGCCGCTAAGGAGACTGCGCTTATGGCATCTGGCCTTCTTCTCTTCTGCTAGGCACTCGAGCAATTGACACCTGGCTGAACGGAAGGTAGAAAAAAACATAGGTGGAATTGCACTGAGCTGACGGGTGCCTGCGTCTTTGGCCGTCACTGATCGCATTGATATGCCATGATGTGTTGATTTGCCTGATGTGCCACTCGCCAAGTGTATCATGGCATCACATTTCAGTCAAGCGGCTTGGGCATTAATCATATCCATTGGCGGCTTAGGTACATGATGTCAATAAGTTCTTGAACCCGAGGGGTTTCAAGAAGCTTGTCCCCAATCAACTCTGCGACAGTGATATTGAAGAAAAAATCAGTGCGCCACCAATCACCACCTTGACCAGAAAGAGACACGTACATTGCCACACACAGACAAACAAAACCTTTTAGGTGTAATTGCTGAAAGGCATGAGGCCGGGGCAGTACATCCGGTCCGAGTTCAATGTAGAATCATGGAACACGGGTTTGCCCAAGATCTTGCAATCCTGAAGAGAGCGCCACAATATGATGGCGTATGCTTGAAAGCGCCTCTCTGAGGCAACAGCATTTCTTGGGACCATCTTCTTGCCACCCATGATGGAGAGAAGTGTGGATTTGCCAGCTCCATTGCCTGCACTGAATGGCAAGGTTGTGACACACTTATACATGTGCGGAGGCTCCAATGAATTTTTTTTGATGTCTTCCACGTCAGTTCTGAAGGTGAACCTACTTATATACGTTGGAGTGATGCTGGCTTTTACCGAGCCACCAGCCCTGGCACCCAAGCCCAAAGCAAAACTGATAATTGCTTTGAGCATTCACCCTGCGAGGTCTGCACTGCGCTATACGAAGCTCCCCGCTGACTGTGCTTCCTCTTCAGTACAATGCTGTGAGTTGGGCATCTTCAGATTTTGCACTCCGTTTCGATGACACAGGTCTCCCTGAGAGTGTTTGACTGGTTTGTTTGGTTCCTCCATCATCAGAGAGTCCGCTGTAATCAAGAGTGCAATTCAAGCAAGGCCGACTGAAATGTGCAAGAATCTTTAACGAACGTAAAATGGCACTACACAAATGGTGATTTTAACCACATACATCAGGCCTCCATAAGTGTGAAGAACATTTATGTCTGAAACAAGGCCGAATCTGAGAAGTTGGTGATCAACCTTGCCATGAACAGAAGCTGCTTCGGCAAATCAAAGCGCACATAAGGAAGTGTTCCACTCAGGACCATCCGGACGGTTGCCTTCAGGCACAGAGCTCAAGCCAAAAGGACACCACACGAAGCCGTGCTTCTGGCCGGGATTAGCTCGGGAGAAGTATGGACAAATAGCGCATGCTGAATGCTAAAGAGTGCGCACCTATCAAACAAGAAAAAAACTCTCAGGGCGCTGTGCACTGACCTTGGCTTCATTGGACGCTCTCCAAAAACCCCATTGTCCGCAATCAGCCATCACATTACAACCTGAGAAGGGAGGGGACGAAAGCCAGCTTCCTTAAGCAAACATGAAGGTGGCTAGGGGGGGAATGGGGTTGTCGTCAAACATGGCGAAAGAGAAGGCGGAGAGGCGGAAAGTGTTGCAATGAAGGCCGATATGGGATAGAAGTGGGGCGCATGTGTCGGGAGAAAAGGTTGAGTCGAATAGAACATCACAATCCGGGCGCATAGAGGTTGAGGTTGAGGGACGTTTTTAAGCTGAAAAGGGGCACCGGTAAGTAACCGAAGGGCGCTTGCGTGGTGTTGGTCACCCCGTCTTGTAGCTGAACTTATTAACTCGGCGTGCTGCTAAGAGCGGTGCAGTCTAAAGTTTATTGCCAATATGTGGCAATTCCCGGTAATAGGATAGACTGCCATTCGTGAAACACTCCGACCCTCTTAGAAACCTACAGCCCAGAAGGGTGCACTTTTTCATCCGGGTAACAACCCTTTGGCTCCAAAAACGGGGCACCCCCAAGCAACTCAAAGGTTCCTGACTACATTGTATTTCCTCTCCAGCAATTCCCATATCAACTCTATGTGTCTAACGTGCACAGGGTTTCGCTGCTTTGGTCCTTTAGCGGATGGACACACCCGGTTAGCCTGGTGAACACCCTCAATGTGGGGCGACATCGTTTCTTGCATTCCCTTCGGCTCTTACAGTACCAACCACGCCAAAACAAAGGGCTGAGAGACGCAGCGTCTCGCTTTGAAGCTGGATAAGCCAGAGCCGGTATATACAACGCCTGGAGCAACTCCCGTCCACCGTTGCTGGACATGGGATAGGCGTCGGTCCGTACCAAGATGGACATCTATGACTCTGAAGTCTGCCCCCAACCAACTCTAAAGTTGTTGACTGCATTATATTTTTTGCGTCCTCTACCTGCAATCTTCGGTCTGGTGACGCAAATATTCTCCTGCGTTGTCCGCGCGCTATCTCTATCACAAATACATTCTGGCCTGCACAAACCTGGCCCTGACTGGATGGACACACCTGGTTCGCCTGATGGGTTCCCAGCCTGGAATTTTTCATTTCCTGTCACGTGGTCCCCCTTTCCTGTCCTCTACCCGAACTCCCACACCTCATGGAAAGTCCAAATGGTCCCTTAAGCCCTTCGTGATGCTAATGATGCACTCTTCGGCGTCAATTGCATCACTCACTCGCATCACTTGAGGCCGAGGGTAGGTGACGAAAGCTAGCAGGGGTGCATCCGGACTGGTGGGACATCAAGCGGAGTGAGGCAAATGCTCATGAGGTAAAACGTTGTGAACATGTAAGACACACAAACAGCAATGACACAGCCAACCTTCGAATTGAAGTCCCCGACAATTAAGGAAGCGTGGCTGGACTTTGCCACACTGTTCGATGCATCCGATGTGTTCACGAACCTGTGAGCTTGTTGAATCTGTTGCACCGTATCCCAAAACCTCCACGGAGGAGTTGAACCAGTGTGGATGCCATAAGAGGTGCCCAAGAGGTGTCCCAGAGGCAAAACAAAGCTGCTTGCATGATTTGTTTGGTTTCTTCTATCGATGTCGATGTCATGAACATGTGAGCTTGTTGAATCTGTTGCACCGTATCCCGGAGGAGTTAAGCCAAAGTGGATGCCATAAGAGATGCCCGAGAGGTGTCCCAGAGGCGTCCGAGGGGGGAGTTGAACCCACGGGGGGGGGGGCCCTACATATGAAGTTTTCACGTGATGCGGCGATCCCGAGGATTCCAGCCCCTCACTTGCTAAAGCAAGGACAACTCCAGCTAGCTGGTGCTAGCTTTCGTGATTAAACCCCAAAAACCATACATTTTAACTACTTTTCTGAGACGGCTCTTTTTTGAGCTCTCCCCCCACCAACCTCTGGGCTCACCCTAGAGCAGGGCCGTCTGTGCAACCACCGCCCCCCACACCTATACTCACTTCTTTCGCCCATCGACACCTCCAGCCTAGCCAAAGACCCACAGTATCATAGCATGTCGCATGGATTGATCCCAATAGCCATCCATGTTTTCGGCCTGATTCTCTAAAGACGCATTTGCTTTGAGTATGTAATCATTGGCTTCGGACAAACGGGTCACGCCACATCTGCGGGAGTGCTGATTCTCACGGTAAAAGGGAGAATTTATCACCTCGAACTGGTCAGTTTTTGTCTTGGATGTTTTGAGCGTGCCGCAACCGGCCCAAAAAAAAAGGAAACTCTGCTTAACAAAGGCTGGTTTGGCAAACCGACACGGAATGAATTCGGCAGTGAGTTGGCACAACAGCCCCAGCCATGCATGGTGCCAATATTGAGAACCATATGTGTTCCTGGACGCTAATCTCTCTCGCCATCACCCTCTCCATCAGGTTCTTGGACTTTGACCACCTGAGTGATTTTGTTGGCTTTGTTGCTTTGGCTGCGTTTGGAGCAGCGCGGAAAAATTTGGTCAGTGCATGGGTTATTTCAGGACACCGTTGCAGCGACTGAATCAAGTGCAAGCAGGACCCTTGCCATTGCCCTTTGCAACTCTTGATGTCTACTTTGTCTCCTCAAAGGAAAAGAGCCCGAACCCGAATAGTTTGGCACGAGTGCTTGCATGCTCCCCGGTGAGGGGAATGCGTTCCACACCACTTGTCGTCTTTTCGATAATACCTTCCAGAGCGTGGATACTGTGAGTTCGCGCATTTGTTCGTCACAATCCCCCATCTCAATGTTGCTGTTTGGACGGTTGACATTTACTGGCATGAATGGCTGTTGTTCCCTAAACATCATCAGAGGGCATTGAATGTGCCGGTTGGAAATTTACAATTGGAACTGGCCTGCTAAGTTCTTACACTGGCTATTTGTTTCGAAAAACCCGGTTGGTCGAATGCCTCCGAAAACAATCAAACGCCTCCAACGACAAGGACTCGGCACCCTTGCCCAAATGTACAACACACTTCGATTAACTTCCTTGGCTGCAATTGAGCTGAACAGTGTTTGGCATTGCGCGCCACAATCTGATGTGCAGTACCAGTTTCGGCTCGCTGACCGCACGGTCATGAACAGTTGCACCACCTCCGTAGCCTTGGTTTATGCATTTGGTTTCTCCCAACACTTGCCCCGCTGTTGCTCCCGAGTTGCAATAGGACAACTTGTCACACTCCAATACCACTGAGTCCTGCTCAACTTGCAGTGGGCATATGCTGTCATCCGTTGTCAGCATCTCTTTTCCCCACCTCTTCCATCATATTCGCACAAGTTGGGAACGCGGTTTCTTTCGAGTAGCCCATGTTGCTTGCACAAAACCATCCAACAAATATGTGTGTGTTTACTAGTTTTTTTGTTTTCCTTTTTTCTATTAGGAGATCAGGGTGGCGCATGCACTCCGTGGGTTGGATGACTGCTCCCCACACGGCAGTTGCTGCAGAAAAGTATGATGTTGTGAAAGTCTGTCATGGACAATTGTCTGGCAGGGCTTTGGCGTCCAATTCAATGCCATACGTGGCCATGACACGCGGCTTTGGATTTAGCATGGCCCTGATAGCTGGACATGGCAGCAGGACAAAAAACGAAATCCGGTAATGGCGGCAAAGTTCTGTAAAACCAGGGTCGAACTTGTTGGTATGGTGCTTGATATTGTTGGACCGTATGACTACACATAAAGCATCCCCTATGGGTGTTGAGTTGGGCGTTTTGTCGGCATTTTTGCATCAATCCACCTGTATAACATCCATACAAATGAACACCCACTCGAACTACAAAACGCTCGCCCAAATGCACAGGCACAATCAGTGGACTGCTATAAAATGCCTTAGGACATACGACGAAGAGTTCCCTACAAAATGACAGACATAAATCATCCAGTATAAAGCTAAAGAGAAACAGGAACGCTTTTGTAATGATTATCAAGTGAAAAACACCGAAAGCACGAGCGCGCTATACAAATGAGTGGCAACACCTTCATAGAAGATCACAATGCCAAAACCACGAAGTTAGACCCCCCAAAATCATCTGTCTATAAAATATTTTTTCTGGAGTACGCCATTCCAGATCCACAACCCCGTCTCCACACCATGTTTTGTATGATGTCAAAACATCCCCGTGCGCAATGCCCCACGGCAGCCACTATAAAATGGGGCCTGAAGCCCACTTTAGTGAAGATCACATGAACTGCATTTTATAGGGCGTCACCCGCGGGGGATCATAAAAGACATAAAGCTCTACTTGAGAGGAGCAAGACACGAAAGGTAGGACAGCGGGAAGAGAAAAGAACGCGAGAGGCAGGAACAAAAAGGCAATGTTCGACATGGTGATTTATCCCCTCAGAGGCGACCTGTCGTAAATATATGTTCATATGCACTCTAAATGTTCAAACATATGCTCTCGAAATGTTCAAAGATTCTGAGGAAAACAAACTTGCCCCATGGCTCAGATCATCGGTGAGCATTGAATCGGAGCATCATAGGATTTGAACTATCCTGAAACCATAAGAGGCTCACGAAGACGTTCCCCAAGAGAGAATTGACGTGCTTCACAAGACAAACTCTACCTTTCGTGATTATGCACTCTTTCTGAATGTTCTAGAGGGTTTCAACTATCCTGAAATCATGAGAGGCTCACGAAGACGTTCTCCAGGAGAGAATTGAATTTAGAGGGGGGGTG